TATTCATTTTCAAACTGTTACGTCACACATTTCTTTGAATTTACGATACCATTTTGTTCTCACTTTCTCTTTGTAACTGTATGCGATGATAAATGTTCCGGGAGTGTAAGAAGCTGAGAATCGATCCGTTAGGATGAATCAAGCGATTTTTGACTTTATTTGACTTGAAATTTAGCACTGCATTTACTTAACAGCAGTGATATCAATTGTGTTTCTGTCATGACAGCTCCCCGTAAAGAAATGTAGTTCATGGATAATAACTCGCTTTTACTTACTTGTCAATGTAGCTGTAATCAAACTGGTCACCTTGACTCCAGGTTTGCGTACATCAAAACATCTATCATTAAAAAAATGTTACCAAATAANCGTCGTGTTATACGGGAATTACAGATACGATTAGCTGATTGAACAGTGGACGATACTCACGATCTGTTTTGACATTTTCACGCATCAGCAATTCCCGTATAACACGACGGAATGTAACATCCTTATCGTTGTCCGATTCAAAAAGACGATATATTTTCCACTCCACAGGGATCGGTTTCGACTCGGCCGAGCGGTAGCATCGTTCACGATAAGGTGCGGGAAAAATGGGTTCCTGAAACGGAATGAATGGAAATAAACAAGCAGTTTGAGAGTTAGATCACACATCATGAGGTGTATAGATATAAAAATAACAAGCAGTTTGAGAGTTAGATCACACATCATGAGGTGTATAGATATAAAAATATCCGGAGTCGTTCGCTGAGCATATTGATGCATCCTTTTCCAGTCTAGTGGATTGCGAATAGGTTGGGTTTTCAAAGAATCCCGTGTTTGATGGTAGAAGTAGTAGTAGTGAAATTACGCACAGAATTCAGGACACGAACTACGCAATGTGGAAGTAGTAGTAGTGAAGTTACGCACAGAATTCAGGACACGAACTACGCAATCGGAATTACGGAACACGAATTAAAAACCGAGCACTGGACCGCAATGGCTCGAACTCGCAATAACCCGCAGGATCGAGACGCGAGGAAAGAGGCCACAAGACAGGCGAATCACCAGTCGTCTATTGAAGGAAATGAAAGTGAATATATATGTACACAAGAAAAGATCATTGGCTGCCTTAGTTTCCACCAATCATATTGCAATACATCTTGCGTCATACTGCTCTTCTCTGCATTGTATCTGATTGGCTGGAACGGTTCACCAATGACGNTCATTGCTCAAGGTCGATTGACTACCAATGTCCGGAAACTGTACCGCGCTGTTCCAGGGCAGGCATGATCTCGTAGATCCGAATCACCACAGTTTTTTTTAAAGCATCGAACAAGGAATGGAATTGAATGCGGAGAAATAATCAATAAAAACATACGGAAATTATTCAACAAACTCATTCATAAACTGGTTGACAAAATGGATAACTCGCGGTGACTGGATCTGAAATGAATCTGATGAGGCTTGTAGGCAGAGTGTAATGGAGTAGACTGTTACATTCCCTTGGGAATTGCTTTTTCAGCCGGATGTTTTCAAGTATCGATAATATTATGACCGGTATGAAACACTATCGCATAGTAGAAGTTCTGAGTGTTTCGCTTACAACGGAGCTGACTGTTCCAGATAGATAATTAGCACCAAATATTGGAAAGTGCCAGAGGTGTAACAATAACTCAAGGCCAAAATTAGAGGAAGAACCATAATTAAGCAATAGTTTCTGATTATCTGAAATCGAGAACGGCTCCTGCTCTCACAGATATTGAGAGGAGGACGTGTTGTTTTCGCCCAATCGGGTTAATAGAAACCCATTTCTTTCTACTGATTTTATTGTACAGGATTCACTGCTTCAAATATTGTTCATCCATTCCTGCATTTAGTTTGTGTAACGATCGATGAAGACCGATGAATAGTTAGTTGTTTTGCCATTTTTGAGAATCTTCAATATTGCTCACAATTTTTTTAAGTTCCCGCCATAAGAACTGAAAATCTTCGGGTTGGGATCAGCTGCAGTATAATTGTTCTGACTAGGTCGTTCCCGATTAAAATCATCGGTTATTTGTTGGAACAATTCAACTAATATTATTCATTGGTGGGAACCTTGAGAAGCAAGTTGCATTTTTCACGTATACGAAAACTGAGTAAGTTGTTTCTCGGCTTCAACTATTTGCAAAATCACTTGAACGCTCTATCCGGTTTGGGTATAGTGACACTACAAACTGCTTATTCAGCGAGCCGCACACCTCAAGGTCAACTTTTGGAGGTCATTTTTTACGTTTCTTAGAATATATTTTTAGTTCCTTCAGGATATAGGATTGCATGTGACTGATTTTTAGCCATATGATGAATTATTTTATTTAACCTGGAAAATTCTCATCGGTAGGGCTTATTCACGGTGCACCCAATGTGTTGACTTCACAGGCTACAACGATCCACGTAGAGTGACGCACAAAACACCCGGAAGACGGTGTCTTTCAACAAATAGGTTTCTTCTTCAAATGCGGTACTGAAATACAGTTTACAATAGTAAAAAATATGCAAACCTCAAACTGTGTCACTAGCCGGTTAAAAACACCGGAATCTGTGAAACCAGTAGTTCGACGAGCAAGAACTGCGAGCAAGCAGGCGCGCAGTGCGATGACGATAGAACGAATACACCGAACAATGTCGAACAGGATCACATGAATCCGTGGTGGTCAATAGTGAGAAGCCACCTAGAGGGAACCAATCACAAAACAGTGGGTGTAAATGTGTCATCAGGGCCCGTCGTGACAGGACAGTGCGATGAATCGGTGTAGGTGTGTGTGCGTGCGTGTGTGTACACAAGTGTCAGAGTCAGTCGATCATGGGCACGGATCGATGGGACGGGTGGGACCGACAGAGGTCAACGTAATAGGGCAGACATACTAACAGTGCGTGCGTATGTGTAAACGGCGTGGAGAACAGCCATAGGCACGGATCAATGAGCGGATGAAATCAACATTACACGGTCAAAGGGAAGACAATGGACAACAGGATGGTGGTGCTGGGTATGTGTGAAGAGTGTCAATATGGACAGAATTTATTCTACACAATGAAAAAAGAAAAATTTTGGAATAAGTGCATTAAACAGAATAAAATCCATCTTGAAACAGCAATCGTTTATTTAAAAGAATGAACTTCCATGCTGAGTTGCATAAAGTATTAGTTAGCTCTCAACTGTAAATTTCTAACCACTACAAATTTTTTATCCTGACACTTAAGGTCACACAAATTCAAACGTTGATACTTGATAATTAAGAACATTGCAGTGGAAGATGAAAGCCGGAATAAATAACATTCACCTTTCGTTATCGATATACACGCATGATACAGGTAACTGAAATGTATTTACTAAATGAAAATAGTTATTCGATTCCATAAACTTAATTTCTAATGCGAACCCAAAGTGAGTGAGCTTCTGATTACTACTCATGAGTAGTCAAATTACACCATCCAAATTTGCTGAATTAATGTATACCGTCCACTTGGAGAGACAACAGCACAATTTGAATACGGTTGAAAGGTGTTTTCTATCCGATATGTAATGAACTGTATCACTCACCTTCGTGTAAGGGAGTAGGCGAACCAAAATCGAGGCGCAAGGTATGTAAGGAGCTTGATCTAAAGCAAACTCGTCGTATAATGGTGTTTCACTGGTGTTCACAACAGAACCCTGGGGTACACCACATCGTAAACGCAGTTGATGTCCACCGATAAACAATCGACCCTGCAAATGTGAAAAAGGTGAATTGATAACAGTTAAACTTTTAAAAGAATAACATTGTGAATATTCTATTTCAAATGCAATCAATGAACTGTGACACAATTGACGCTGGAGCCTTACACGAATAATCTATGTTTTAGCAATAAAAGAACAGAATTAATCATTAACATTTTTAGTTTGCATAATCCTCATATTTTCATGCATCCAGTTTGGATTTCTATTTAGTTTTTGGTTATGGATGAACAATGAAGGATAAAACTGAAGGAAATCATATCTGAAACAGGATCATCAGATGGACATAGAGAATGCAAGTCAAATAAGTTAGTGTCTGTGTGTAAGACATTCGTTTACATATCACCCAGTGCCTGAATATCGGTCACACTGCTCTTGAATAAACCAACCGGAATCGATGTCTAAGTTCACTCGTCAAAACTTTCACAACCAATTGACAAATCTGATCTTGATCACTCTTGATATTCTTCCAACAATCACTACCGGCTCCAACACCTGTCGTTAAAACCGATCCCGGGAACGTTAAAAATAATACCTGTCCTAGCTATCATAATCTATGAATGACGATCAAGTACCTTTTTCATTACACACCTCTAACTGTGATCACCAGTAGAAAGGGGAAAAGTCCCATAGTCTCAAGGATCTACTGTTCAGTGATACAGATCGATAACTTAAGCCCCGGTACTTAGAGTGGCAAACCACCTAAGTCCTCGCCAGGTTATGTGTGTTATTGAATCGGGCAACAGTTGAGCTGCCTATCACCAACCTGGTGGTGACGGTGGAGCTCAAGAGCCTCTAACCATTGGGGTTCAGAGTAGGCCAAAAAACAGCGACTAAACCACTGCGCCTTGGTCTAATCTAATACCCCTCGCCTATTTCGGCATTGATTGTTCCGTTACATCAACAGACTATTGTAAAATAGCATAGATAGTGTTGATCAAACAGTGATGGTCAATTTTATCCCCCTCTCTGTCTTGCATCGTTTGAGTCTCTGCACGACAACGACTGTGGAATATGCCGACACATTACAGAAAGCCTGAAATTGAGGTGATGTTATTCATAATGACACAGTTTCGGTGATAAAACTTATAATTGGTAAAAGTCAATAATAATAATAATAATAATAATAATGTAAATGTTTGTGATAACCAACAAACAGCACAATGGACAGCTATTTCCTGTCCTGTTTGGGACTCGTCACCAGTGAGTCTTCTGTGTGTGTCCCTGTCCGGACTCGAACCGCGATCCGTCGCATCGGGACTTCAAACCCTTATCCCCTAAGCTACACGGTCGACGGTTACCAATTTGTGCGAATGGTCCAATCACCATCTAAATTGATTGATCACAAACATTTCCATCGCACACAGTGACGATTATTTCTAACAAATACGCTGAGATAGATGTTCGGTATTTCCAGCGACTTTTAGTACCAAGGCATTGGACTTAGATGGAGAAGAAGCATAAAGTTGGCGTAAAAATCAAAACGTTTATTACAGCATAATCTCCTCTAACCTAATCCTAGACTGTTGATAAGGATTTGGAAATTTAATACAGTCTATCAAAAGTGGTGGTGGTCCGGTGATATCGTCACCAAATTGACATCCCGTGGATGTGTGTGTTCGAATCCCACCACCACTGCCTGTCTTTCCCCGTTATGTGTGTTGGATGCCAGCCTCGTTTGATTGGCCGCTTCCCACTTCCTGAAAATTTGTTTCTTTGTATATTCAATAAAAATGTAGTAGAAGTGAAAACGAACACAGAACATAGACCCGTTGCTTGCCTGATCGTCAAAAACGCGTAGCAAAACATTTCCAACAATACACGGTTTCATGGTTCTCTTCAGTATTGTATAGACTCGCAAGAATAACAATGTATTTGTTGAGAGATTTTTTGTTCCACTCAGATTGACAATCGATCGTTGATTCGGTGAGACGAATGGGGAACGCACAATCGAACCACAGCCAGTGGAGTCCACACGCCGTTTGGTAACGGTTTTGTCATCGTTCGTCTCGCTCAGAGTCATTTCGGGTAGGGTTAACAGATCAAGCAGTTCTGTATCAAATCCGGTGTTTAACAATCGACCAGATATCTATTATGGTTTTTTAAAGAAGAAAAAAGAAGAAAGAAGAACAACCGGATAAAGGAATGTTCGCAATAGTTGATTGTGTCTAATAATAGAAGAATCAATGGAATCATAAACATTTATATTTTCAATGCGAACCCACCTGTTAGGTGAAACAGATAAAGAAACAACGTGGAATTCTTTGTTTCAACATTTTATTTCATTTGAACAGATTCAGTCATGTATAAAAAAATAGCGCCGGATCGGAAAACTTAACTATTTGAAGAATAGCATCGGATTTAGGTAAATAAGGTTACAGAGAGCGAAAAACCTAATTTGCAACAATTGGTTAGTATTTTTGTGATTTTTTCCTCATCCGCAATCAACCGTCTTAATTTTTATTTGTGTCTTTTGTAGTTCAAAATGTAAATCATTTAATCCACTCGTGAACTCCATGATAATCCGATAACCGCTTCTTGGTATGTGTGTGTGTACATACTACTCACAAGTGTGAGTAGCACCTCACAACATATGAACTTGCAAATTTCTGCCGAATATCAGCAGCAGCAGCGGCAGTAGTTGCCTATTGGAAATACGTATAGATATGTATAAAAACACAAATCATTTCAGATACGGCGCCAAAATAACTATGAGAGAACGAAAAATATACTGAAGCGGTCAAAACAAGAACAATCAACCGAGAGGAATAGCAAATTTTTTGTTTGTTTATTGCACACCATTTTGAGTTTTATTTTTCGTTGTTTTTTGTTTATTTTTAAAATTACGCGCAGGAAAGGATGCATGCACGCCACTGACTTCGGTTCGGTGCCATATCCCGCAGTGTCTCCAGGCGACGATAATCTGAATCTTTGGGGCCCTAGCCGGGGGTCGAGAAGCCTCAACGGAAGCCAGATCGGAGCCCGATCCAAAATTTCCCCGAGGCACCCGATTCATCTCAGCCGTCTCTCTCGCAGATAAATTAAGAAGCTTTGGATGCTATTTTTGTAGTTTTTACCTAGAAGACAATCAGTTTTTCAATATAAAAGGTCATTTAATTGTCCCAAGACGCTATCTAGACTGTTCCTGAAGTGAAAGCACGTCCTCTTGTTTACGTATTTGCTTTTGATAGCTACCAGCTTACCTACGGGGTGACGAGTTAAAGTCTCCCAGGTGACGTCAGCAAACTGCCTACGTGTTACAGCTTATGGGCAATTAACCATAGGCCGACTGTGTTGACCAATCAGAAGCCGTGTGGCCCAGACAAAAACTGTACAACGCCAAGAATACGAGCGCGCGATTGGTTGATGCCTGGATAACTAATAAACTTTCTTTGTACATTTTATTTAACCCCCTTGATTTCTTCCAATAAACGAATCGCTACTCCTGTGATCTTATCCTTGCGTCTCGATTACGTGGGATACCGTCATGCAAGTGCCAGTGTGATTCAGTGCTTACTTGGCATCCGTGATCCCTAATAGGTGATTTGTAATCCGTGATCTGTGCCTACTTCAACTAATACAAATAGTTACAAATAGTCATGTCGTGAGCAAGCAACGCAACCTGTACATAATTGTTTATAAAGATCTCCAGCACACGACATATGCACACACCATACATACACAGTGCTTGTTTTCCTCTAATTCAATCACCGAGATTTCTTCGTGCAACAGAATAGACCGTTTTACATTGTTTGACTGATTTTTTTTAATTTTTCAAATCTGCATCATTTACTTGTAAATAGAAAATCACTAGAGTGTGGTTACGACCATACAACTCATGAGTATAACGTGAAACACACACGAATGCTTTGCGTGTCTCAAACTATGATTACTTCTGTGCATCCACCATCCTGTCTCGTCGGCAGTACCGCGGATGGACACATCGCAAACTATGACCACGCGTACTGCTAAGGTGTACTTTGTGTCACCCTAAGCTTTATCACGTTCGATAAACTTTCGATTCGTAGCTCATGAATTCTATTGGAACATCATGTCAAGGTCCTTATGCTATGGCGTATTGTATTGTATTGTACTGTATTATAATAACTTCTGCAAGCATGAAGCCCACATTTCAGTTAAAAAAAAATACAGTTTGGAGCAATGGAGAAAATGAAACTAACAATGAAAAAAAGAGATTTAAATTCCAAAACTGTTAATAAATTCTGTGAACACATGTTCTTTGTTAATAAGAATACGCGCTAATGAGGGCACTGTGAAGTTACGATAAATATGTATTCAAGAGGGAACACAACGATATTGTAATCCAGTTGAGGGATGGGAACAACAGGAAGTTAGGTCAGNAGTCGATGAAAATCTTATGCGCAAACTTTCATATGCATTCAAATGACGTTCGCATAGGTTAGTTATCAACTCCTTTTGTGGGATTGAAGAGACAGCTAATGGTGGTCAATCCAAGTCGAAGCAAATTAAAATCTTTCTTAAGGAGGTTGGGGAAAATAACAGGTGAACAATAAAGTAAAACAGGGAAAACACACTGATACACAAAGTTGGAAATAATT